GGCAAACCAGAGTACACTAGCGTATATGCTCTGCTCTGAATATAAAGGGGGTGCAGACAAACAGATTAGATGTAGTTCAAAGAGGCAGTGTATCCCTGACTTTGAAATTACCATTTTTGTTTCATCTTAGAACTCATTTTAATGAACTGGCAAGGAAGAGAAACAGCAAATTTCCATCCAAGGCTGCAGTTTACATGTGGTATTCTCTAAAAAATGCTGCTGCTTTTAACAACTGTAAACCAAGGTATCTATAAAACCAGTTTTATGGCAGAAAGAAGGGAATTCATAGTTATTTTATTTCAATATTTGTTGCTAGATGTGAATGACAAATATGCTGGGTTTGTTTTTCCTCACAGTCTTTTTTGATCAGATGTCCTTAGGTGACATTTCACTTTATCTAGTAACAACCCATTGGAGAGAAGAGAACGACCTTCATCATTTGTTTGCTGCTGCACAGAGCTCAAGAGAATGGCACATTACAGAGATCTCTGAATAGCCTCTTGCATTTTGCCGGCACCTCTTGAGAATTTGAAATACCATAGCCAGATACTATCATCTGTTGTTTTTAAATACCGCCTTCCAGTGTGAGACTGAAAGCTTTAATTTCCCATCAAGGATCCAAGATGTGAAATATGTGTACATGTTTCCAAGTTTCTCTATATCCTTGTGCCACTATACACAGATAGGTGTTTCTTTTACCACCATATGGCTTGCAACGCAGAAAGCCACTTCTTCCAAAATGCTTGGAAGTTATGACTTCTCTGAAATGTTCTTCATTGTTAACTCCTTCCTATTTACCCCCTAGCTCTCTGTTAAGAATCCATTCTTCAGAAACTGGTCTCTTCCCCCCATTCCACCTGGCCATCACCTGAAGATGAGTCCCCATTTGGGTGTTCCCCACCAACTCCCAGCTGGTGGAGGTGCAGGAGGAGCCCATCAACCACAACAGCCTATCAAGCCCCTACCCATCAGCATGGCTGCATTACACGCTGGTTGGCTGCGAGGCAACATGCTGCTTAGCAACCTGCCAACCACGAATGCAAGTGGGACAATGGAGGTGAGCAACTGGCCAGCAAGGCCAGTGCTGTAGATGCTGATTGGTTAGCAATAAGCGAAACACGAGTGCTAACTCTTGGGATTAGAGGACAGGTCTCTCCTCCACCCTGCCAGTGTACACAGCTGCAGGGGGATAATGAGGTTGAGCTCATCAAGCAGATTTCCATCTGTGGGGAAATAAGAGGATTTGTCTCCTTCTCTTGCCCATCTATTTTCATAAAGCTTCAAGGGCTTAATGTCTTCGAGACTTCAACTCCCTTCCCCGCATCAGATCCAGTGAAAACTGGCCACAACTTTTGCAAAACATACTAGGGGCTGATGGACAGACGTGCAGGCAGCATGATGGCCCAAGCCCAGGACAAAGCACCCGCAATGCGAGGATGTCCTCCCTGAATGATGAACACTGGCAGAGCCAGTCCCTCAAACAGATTGTCCTTGGGAGAAGCTTTGCCAGAAAGCACAGCCCTACAGCTCACTCCCTGGCTGAGCATCCCTTGCCTCCAAAATGCTGCTTCATAAGGGACACCAAAGCCTCTCCTCCAGCACAGCCTGTAATGGGCACTGAAGAAAACAGGACCTTTCCTGCAGGCACAGTGCTCATGGGATGGAGAGAAGGGTACTTAATAATAGTAGTTAACGATATAAGCGCTGGCTCCAAAACACCCCGCCCTGCAAATAGAGTTGTTCTGGCTCCAGCAATTACCTGACAGTTCAACAAGACAAAAGGGAAGGGGGAAAAAAAAAAAAAAAAAAAAAAGAAATTGGATTCAGGTACAGCAGCTCCACTATATGCCAGAGGTCACCCCGAGTCCCCCGGTGGCCAATAACACTGAACTTGTTCAACAAACAATTTAGTGACAGCCTCACGGTCGCAGAGAGGAGGGGGGGCAGAAAGTGCTGCGCAACAGAGTATTGGATTTTAAATGTCACTCCAGAGCTGCAGGGGGTTAATGCAAGGTTTATGACACGCTGGCTGTTTCTGAGCTGGTGGATGCTCAAAGTCAGAATTATCTCTCCCGTCTTCCAGCCCTGCAAGGCAAGTACCAACAATGTTTTGGAAGGAGATGCTAGGGCCCTCTGGTTATGCACTCTGAAGAGATACAAAGCAGCTATTTATGTGGAGTTAGTTGCTTTGCTGTTGTGCTCCTGTTATTCTTTCCTCTCTGATAAGAGAACTGACTCAACCTGCTGGGCCACAGCTTTGATCAGCAAAGCCAGTGGAGTAACTCAGTTTTACTCCGGTCTATCACAAGGAGGTACGTGACCCAGAGAAACCTGGGATCGGCAGATGAGGAGACGAGAAAGGAGTTG